CCTGCTGTCTCTGTGAGGTGGCTCAAATGGTGGATAGGCTGGCTACTCAGAAGGGCCCACTGCTTGGAGATGCACATGACCTAGGGCCAGAAAGAAAAGGCTGACACTGCATGGGAAAGGACAAGGAGCCATGAGCAGATGGATCAGGGTCCTATGCCACTCTCCAGTTTGGAGCTCCAGGACTCAGAGAGAGAGAGAGAGACAGAGACAGAGAGAGACAGAGCTGAATGTCAACTCAGAAGAACCCCGACATCTCTTAGGAGATGGCTGTGTCATGCCCTGCACCTCAAAAGACCTAGAACCCAAGTGAGGCAGCAAGCCACACCATGACCCACTGCAAAAGGTAAGGAAAAGGTAAGGAAAAGCCCAAGGAGGGCAGCAGACAGAAGCATGCTGGGCCAGCTCCTCTGCCTGGGTGAGACGAGAACCCCAGGTATGAAGTGTGGGATGCAATCTCAGAACTGAAAATGAGGCTGGGCACTGCGGACCTGACTGAGGCTAATTCCCTGCCAATTTCATCTGCATGTCCAAGGGTTGATGCCTACATCTGGGTGCATGCTAAGTCACTTTCTCAGCCTTGTAATCTTGGCCACTAGCGACTGAGTTGATCGGTGTGGTGGGAATGGAGCAAGGAGTATAAGCGGTAGGGACCTGGAAGGGGAGTGGCCATGAGCTTGCAGACCAGAAGGAGCGCAGACACAGAGCAAGGCTTCCAGTCCTCGAAGATGTTATCTTTTCTCTCTCATGGGAATCGAAATGGTATGACTAAAAATTGATTAAAGTTTAAGAAAATAATTGTAATAAAAGACACATTGCCATTAATACATCTCAAAGTACGACCTCTCCTTTTGAACACACTTGTCCCATCATTCTTGCCACTTTCTGAAGCAGTTCTGTAAACCCTCTTTCATTCGGGTTTGACATTGTCCTGTCATGGCTGCCTCAGTGTCCTGAATCAATTCAAAAACATTACAACTATTTCAACTTTGAGGAAGAGCCAGAAGTCACACATTGCCAGATCCAGTGAATGAGGCGGGTGAGGACACACCTTAATTTATTTTTTAAATAAATCTGGCTTTCCTTTGGATAGCACTTGGCAGTGGCATTCACCACATTTGTTTCAATCGCATCTCATAAAGACACTCATGGAAGAGGATGTCCAGAAATGCTTTAGAAAGTGGCAAGAATGATGAAATATTCCTCCTTGAAGAAGGGAGAATATTTTGAGGAGGGTTACTTGCAATGTGTATTTTGCTGTACTTTCTTTCTATTTAAACATTGACCATATTATTTGATCACCCCTTGTAATCAAGGAAACATCAACCCTTCCCCACAAAAGCCTAGAAAGATTCTGACTACATGGTGTGTGGCTTTGCTGTAAAGGACTCTAAGTAACAAATGAAAATGATTTGAACAACAGTAGAAGCATTTCAGGAGATACAAGCATGTTAACAAAGAACGAAGAAAATGTCCAGAGTCCAAGAAAACAATTTTATGTAATCTGAAAAAGTTTAAGATATTATTGAGAACTCTTACAATTTTTTATTTTATTTTGCTCTGGTTTTGGACCTGCTTAATGCTTGTTCTCTTTTCACCCTACACATAAAATAAGAAAGGAGACAGAAAAGGCAGCGTATCCTATTAAACATCACAAGATTCCTCCAGACTAAGTATAAATACTCTTTGTTGTGTATGTGTGGGAATCGAACTCGGGACCTCAGGCTTGAAAAAAGTGTTGTGCCCCTGAACTAAACCCCCAGCCCCTAATTACTTTTCTCAAATGGGGATACTCAGAGAGATGACTTGGCTGCATAGCAGTGACAGGTAGGGGGCAGAGCTGTGACTTGAATATGGTTATCTGAGTCTCAAACATAGAATCTCTTTCTGTGATAAAAGGTTTCTCTCAATTTGCTGTTACCAGCAGTTACAGGCACTCACGTCACAGACTTTAGGGTTTCACATCTGGGAATTCTGATTCAAGTTTGTAAGACGTTAAACTGAACTGTGTCAGAAGAAACCCGTACAAAACAACATCCATGGAAACTATGGGTTGAAAGCCAAGGGCCAGCACAGAGCGATTTGTTGATTTTCTTCCTAATAGCTCGTGGTATCCGGCAGAGGGCAGCAAAGAGCTTTCTGCGGATCGAATTTACCTACGCAGTGTGGTTGGATGAGCTCACCTGAGGAAGAATTTCTGGGCCTGAAAATGGGCCCTAGCCGCAAGACCTGAGATGACGAAGGATACCAGTACCTTGCTAGGGAGGTGGCTTTGCCTAGGGAAGAAATAGCAGTTGTTTGTTTTAGGAACTCATTTTGGTGGCTGCAAGGCAAATTCTGGGGGATGAAAATGGGCAAGGCAGACTGAACAGGAAGGGTTTTCTCTCACTGTATGAGATAAGCACCGCAAGCTCTCGGCCACAGTTAATGTGTAAGGTGGGAGGTGTAACAGGGTCCGCTTCAAAGCTTACCTCTAAAGGAATCAATCCATGGAAAGTGCCTAGCATGACGTCTAACAAATATGTACCTACTGAGAAGATTCTCTTAGCTATGCCTTCCTTACAATGGCGTTTCTGTGTGTGGTACAAGTAACAGGTGATGGTCTGGCTGTCACGTGAGGTGGCTGACGGCACCATCACAAGCCCCAGGCTTGAGGTGCAGGGAGCAGATTTGCAGCAAAAAGAGAGGGGCTGCCCCCAACACACACACACACTGTGCAGTGAGGGGCACATTGAGGATCTGAGGGCCATCCATGAATAAGAACTGCAGTTAGAGGTCTGTAGGACACAGCCCGGAGGAGTGGCAGAGCAAATGACTAACGGGGAGGGGGGCTGGCGTAAAATTAGAGAAGAAGGGAGGCAAAAGAGGTGACAACGGGCACCTGAACAAAAGGGTGTTGAGGCAGGGTGAGAGCAGCCAGGCAGCTGCGGGAGGTCGGGTGAGGCAGCCCAGGATCCAGGAGAGGTGGAGTCTGGAGGAGAAGATGCTCTCTAGCAAAGGACAGTGCAACAGGGATGTCAGGCAGGATGGGCCTGGAGAGGGTGACATTTCCAGGCTCTGTTCTAGTGAGGTCAGTGACCCAGGAGCTAGTGGGGGAGAATCAAGGGAGATATGCGAGCAGGGCTGTGGGTAGGCAAGGTGAGCCCATACTTTGAAAGGCCTTCGATGCCAACCTAAGGTGTGTTTCTGAGTAGACATCAGGAACTAGCAAGTAAAGGCATAATGATCGCAGCGAATGTACTCTGAATGTTAAACTGTCAGGTGTCCTAAGCACAGTACCTGCCTCATCCCCTCCTGTCCTTGCAGCAGCTCTGTACAGAACTGTTCCAGTTGGAGTGTGGTGTCCCAAAAGGAAAATGTGCTGGAATCTTGGTAGCCACTGCGGTGGTATTAAGAGGTGGTGGAACCTTTGAAAGTTGGGACCTAGTGGGGGGTAATTAGGTCATTAGGGATGCATCCCTTGGAAGCCATCAGTGTTTTGCAGAGTGAATGAGTTTAGGGGAGAGTGGGCTGTTAGGATGTGCAGCCACCCTCACAGCTGGCCCTCCGTGCATGTGGAAAGTTCCTTTCCCCTTCCTCCATCACGTGAACCAGTGAAGGGCACCTTGCCAGAGGTTGAGCCATGGGGCTGCTGGATTTTGGGATTTCAAGCACCAGAACTGAGAACTAAATAAAGCTGTTTATCAAAGTACCAGGCTCTGGAATTCTGATAGAGATCACAAGATGGTGAAATGGAGGCCACAGAGAGCTTAAACAACTTGCTGAAGGTGCCAAGCTGGCAAAGGGTGAAACTGGGGGTCTGACTCTAATTCCCATGCTCAGAGGAGCAAAGGCAGGGCTCACATTCAGGGTGAGGGGCCTCACTGAGGTGTGTGGGGCAGACTGGAAGAGAGGAGGTCAAGGGCTGAGGGGACAGGGACACCTGAGTGAAGTGATGGAGAGAAACTCAGATGTTATTGCATACTCTGGTGCTTTCTAGAGATTTTTTTTAATCTGTATGTGTTTTCCTACTTTTATTTTCAGTATTTCAAACATATGGAACAGTACAGAAAATAATATACTATATTTGGTAACAAGTTTGATGCCATTAATATTTGGCTATTTGTTTCAAACATCTTTTTTTTAAAAATATACACATGCAAGGAAGCCTGTCAGAGACATTTACCTATCCCTACATTCATTCTCCTCCTTCATGACCTTGAAATGACCACTAGACCAAATTATATACCATTCATGGGGATGTTTTCATATCATTTTATAAAAGGGGGCTTTCTAAATCTTCATGAATGTGACCTAGTGAATTATTGCTCTGCAATTCAGATTTTTTTATTCAAACAAGTTAATGAATTTCTTTTTTGGAGACATTGCTATGGATAAATTTTTACTCATGTTAAAATTGTGAAATTCTTTTCTTTTTCCATGTTCACAAAGATGTTCACTGCTTTTATCTCCTTTATTATGTAAATGTGCTGAATCTCATTACCAGATTCTCTGATATTGAGCCATCTTTGCATTTTTGCAGAAATTCGTTATCATTTCAAATAGATAATTCTCAGGGCCAGCGACCTTAAAGCAACTGAATGGAGCCTTGGGTTTCTTTGCCAATAGAAAGGTTTTATAGGAGCTGTCATGAATCTTTAGAATAAAACACATTCCTAATTATCTAATTCTCCTATTTGTGATTCTCAGTGGCTCTCTTGCTCTTTGAATTTCAAGCGACTCTGATGTATACAGTGTCCTTCACAGCTTATGATCTCATCTTCAAATTCATTGCTTATCTCTGGCTTCTTTGCTAACCAAACATGACAACCTGACAATTGTCAACATCTTTAAATGATCCTTTGAGCCAACCCTTATTTTCATACGTAGGATCATTGCTTTTGTTTGAGCCTTCCTGTCCCTTATCTCAGCGTCACTCAAGAGTGACTGTCATGAGTCACAAAAGGGGCATGTCACTTAGTTACTCCTCTTGCTTCTTGAGACATCAGCACAACATACCATGAGCACGTTTCTGTCTGCTGGACTCCGTGCCCTGAGAGGACTGTCTGGATGGCATTTTCCACACACACCTGTGGCTGCACTTTGAAGTTTCTTTTGAAGGAAACTCACTTCCTTTTTGTGAGGGGGATCTGGAGTTCAGAACCGACCAAGATCTGGGAATTGAGGTAAAGGGCATGTGTCCCCACAATGGGTGACTCAAATCTGCCATCTTTCTGTAGATCTGGTATGTCTGTGTATGTTTCCCTACATGTATCTGTGTACATAGCTGGGAAGCTGCGTTTAGCAGCATGCACCTGTAATCCCAGCATTCTGGGAGACTGAGGCAAAAGGATCACAAGTTTAAACCAGCCTGGGGCAATGTTGTGAGCTCATAAGAACTTACCTCAAAACAAGGGAAAAAAAATAGTAAAAAGGGCTGGGGATGTAGCTCTGTGTGAAGGCCCTAGGATCAATCTACAGTTTTCCAAAAGAAATAAAACTCCTCTGTGCATGTACCTCAATGCGTGCTATAGGAGGCTGCCAGCTTAAGTCCTAGTAATCCCACACCGAAGTAGCCATCATTATTTGCTCCTCCCTGTCACAGCAAGAAGCGTTGTTCCTGCCTTGTGGATTTGTATGACAATTGCACTCGCCTTATTGCTGATCATTAAAACCTGCACAAATTCTCTGCCACTCCTGGAATTCTGTCCTTCCAACTTCATGGCATGAAGCAGCAAGAAGGTCCTCAGCAGATGCTCACCCTTCCCACTTAAAGTCTCCAGCATTCGGAAGTTTAAGAATTTCTAATGGATGCTGGCATCTGCCTGGGCTTTGTGCAGTTGATGGTAGGAGGCAGAAGACAAAGAAGCTGTGCTCCCCACCAACATGGGAACCTGCCAGGCCCCCATGACCAGCGTGAGAGAGGAAGACAGCAGCCAGATTTCCAAATCCAAGCCAGCTCTGCTCTTGGGTTTTCCACAGCACAGTGCAGCAGAGGTGACAACCAAAAGACAGACTTGACCAAAGGCAATATCAGCACACAAGAGGGAAGTTCCACTCCAGAAGTGAAGTGTTACTACACTGCAAAGAGCAGATGAGAAACAGCCAGGGGATACCACTTGGGGAAGGTAAGGGCAAAGCAAGGATTTCTCAGGATGTCCAGGAAGTCTTGAGCTTGGGCCAGGAAGGTTATGGGGCCTGTATTCTGTCATGGGAGATCAGGTTTTGTGGGTGTGAACTTTAGAGGGGGTGATCTTGAAGAAGAAGTTATTTACTCCAGTAGTATGCTTGAGCTCTTGTACCACTGCCTACATCCAGTAGAAATTAGTGGTCTGGATTGCTATAGGTTAATATATGGGTAGCCCATGTGTCTTCACTAAAATCAGAGACATCTTTGTTCTGGTTAAGGGCAATTTTTGAGTAGTTGTTAGGGTTTGTCAATGTCCAGTTGATATTTGATGCCATTGTTATCCCTGTTAGCTACTATAGTCAAGGTGACATAACAGTTGCTGTCAATTGTTTTTTTCTCTATGCCAATACCCTGATTGCCTGGAGGTTATAAACAAAACTGTGGCTCACTCCCAAAAAGCAGGGCACTGGGCCAAAGGAGCTGCAAATGCCAGCACAAATTTTTTTTAAAAAGAAATTTGAAAAGATAAGGTAACAAAATGCCTCCAAAAGATTCACACTTCCTCAGAACTGGTTTAGGAGGCATTGAGAGGGAAGAAGTCATAAGCCACAGAGCGGAGAAGCCTGAAAGGATATCAGCAAAGGTAAAATAATTTGATAAGGTGCCTGGCAAATTTAAAGAAATAGAACTTACCAGAAAATGCTAATGAAGCAAATGATCAGTGATTCTAGAGAAGACACTAATAAGAATCTAGTGGAACTAAAGAAAGATATGCAAAGCTGAATGCCCACTATAGAAAAGAATGAGAATCCATAAAAAGTTCAAATCAGAAACCCAGGAGCTCAAAAATAAGATTGAACATATGGGTAACAGAAGTGACCAGTGTGAAGACAGAGTGTGAGATAAAGAACAAGGCTGTGTGGTCAATGATCAGTTAATGAGCGATACCTAAAAACAGCACAGCATGAAAAATTGATTGAACAGCTGCTAGATGACACATTAATGACTAATATGAGTACTAAGAAATAATTAAAAATCAGAAGATGTTTAATCTTTAAAAGGCATTTTTAAAAACCTCTTTACAAAACTAATAGAAAACTTTCCAGATATGGAAAAAGAATTTAACGTACAGACAAGTGAGGCATATAAAACCTTGAATAGCCATGATAAAAACAAAACAAAACATACTCCATGCCACATAGTAATTAAAATACCAGAAATGCAACACAGGAACAGAATCTTAAAGACTGCTAGAGAAAAGCAATCAATCACCTAAAAAGGAAAACCTATCGGGATTACAACACACATCTCAAAACATGGCTTCAAGGCAAAGAGATCATGAAATGAACTGTTTTAAGCTCTAAAAGAAAACAACTTCCAACCCAGACTGTTATATCCTCCAAAATTATCTTTCAAAACTGGTAGTGAAATAAGAAATTTTCATGATGAAGAGAACCTAAAGAAGTTCATGACCAGTGAACCAGCACTCCAAAAAATTCTCAAGTATGTCCTAGAAGGAGACAATAAAGCTAACAATGCCAAAAGGTCCAATAAAATGAATATATCAAGTAAGGCTAGCAATTAAGAAGGAGGGAAAGAACACAAAACAGCAACAGAAAAATAATATGATAGGAATAAGTCAAACCCTATCAATTTAAATGAATTTAATTCACCAATCAAAAGATACTAATTAGCAGAATGTATCAAGCAACAAAATCCAACTCTATGCTATACATATAAAATACATTTAATGCAAAAACTCGCAGACTAAAAACAAAGAAATGCAAAGCAATATTCTATGCCACAGGAATCGAAAAACCAGCAGGAGTATCTATCCTACTTTTTGATGAAGTAGACTTTATATCAAGTCAGAGTTTACTAGAGAAACAGATATAACACGTTATACAAATGTATAAGAAATTATGAGGTTGGCTTACAGTGTTCAGTAACAGAGCTAGATGAGGAGGCATACAAGGGGTGTCTGCACACTGGAGGCTAACGGGTTCTATACTTCTTGAGAAGTATACTTGAGAAGTATAGAAGTTTAACTGAGTAACTCAGCAGTTCTACATCCTAGAGTACAAAAGACATGCCTTCAGGCGCTAGGATGTTGTTCACTGCATCAATTTGAGAAGCTTAGAAGTTTAACTAAGTGACTCACCCGGGTCTACACATCGTAAACATCCTGAGCCTGTGTAAGAGGAGAGCATGGAGATAGTGTGAGGGCTAAACCCACCTGAGGGCGGGTAGCCTACATACTTTAAAAGAGAAACTAGGAAGGACTGATTTCGAGTTCTTTGGAGGAGCTCCAGTCTTCACCTTAGGCTTGGAGTCATTTCCTGGCTTCTAGCACAGACTGTTCAGCTTCTACCTGGGACTCTTCAGCCTTCCATTGCAGACCCACTGGCCTCCTGATACAGATTTGCATGGAATGCTGCAGTGAGCTCCTGACCTTAGACTGAATCCTTCCCCTGAGAAGTTGTTAGATAGATAGATAGATAGATAGATGCGTAGAATTTTAATTGACAAATAGTTGCATATATCTATCACAGGCAACAGGATGCTTTAAAATACAAATATATTGTGGTATAGCCAAATGGACTAATTAACATGCTCATTACCTCACACGCTTATTTTTTTGTTGTGAGAACACTTAAAATTTCTCTTGGCGATTTTCAGCAATATAACTTCTCATTATTAAAAATAGTCAAATGAGTATGTATTTAATTTATCATTTTTCATTCATTTATTTATTTACTCATACTGGGGATTGAACCCAAGGCCTTCACACTCAGCTACACCTTTAGCCCTTTTTTAAAATTTTGAAGTAGGATCTTGCTAAGTTACTGAGTTGCCCAGACTGGGCTCAAACTTGCAATCTTTCTGCCTCAAGCTCCCAGAGTATTGGATGTACAGGCATGTACCAACAATCCCAGCAACTTTTTTTATTTTTTTAAATGAAGAAGAAGCTGCTTCCTTCACATAGTACAAAGCAGTTTTCACTCTATGCAATACTCAGAGGGATTGGGAAGCTTGAAGTTCTTGGCCTTACCCGTGTCTTCCCAGACACCTCATTCCTTCAGGTCCCAATCTGTCCCCATCAGCTCCCGAAACTTGGCAGAGAGGTCTAATGAATGATCTTTCTGTCACTCTAATTTACCAACTCTTACAATCAGACCCTGGGCTTAACCTGCATTCTTATGTGGCTTTTAGCTAAAGAGGAAAGGGATTCCTTTAGAATTGCTAGAGACTGATTTTTCCACCTATAACCTGGCTTGAAATTTCTAGGCGTTAAGTCTGTTGATTTTCTCTAAGAATACGGGCTGCATGTAGTTTGGAAACCAGCAGCCTATGTTCCTGTCTCAGTTGTTAAGTGATGCAGCCAGTTCTGGAGGCACTCTCTTGCTTTCTCTTGCAGGCCACATAGCTGCCACGTAGCTGCAAGGAGCTGTGGGCACTTCCCCATTGCTGCTCAGCATTTCATCAATGTCTTGCTTCTTCCTTGGTGATGAGATTAGATGCTCATGTGTTCAATGTGTAATCAGCAACCTTTCAGAATCCAATTCCAGAATGAATTGGCTGGCTAGGACCACCTCTGACAGCAATGACCACATTACTCAGAATATTGGGGAGAAAAAGTACACTGGTGGGAGAGCGTGGAGAGTATTATACAGGGACTATTTTCAAAGTTTGAACAAGGTCCTCCCATGGTAAAATTAAATGTAAGCTCTAAAGTATTTTTGTTGATTTCCTGCACTGATGTCCCCCGAGGTCTTAAGCCAGGCCTTTGCACACAGCAGGACCTGAGTAGATATTTGAGGACTGAATAAGAAAGTTATGGCAAAGGCAGCTTATGAAAGAACCTAAAATTCAGAGACCTCCTGAAAGTGGAATTACCACAAAATAGTTTAGGTTCACACATGCAATAGCTAAAGAACATTTAAAAACTAGACTGTATTTGAGTGTCAGTTCAAATCCCAAAGTACCCACATAAACAATGAATAGCTGGGTGAATTTTCACAAAATAAAAATTGACTTTGTAACCATCGCCCAGGT